CCAAGCCCTACACCCCCTTTCCTGGGGAAGGCTTGATAATAATCCTCACCAATTTGTACAGGTGAACACAGACCCAAACCCTTGGATCTTAAGAACAATGAAAAATCAATCAGGTTCTTAAAAGAAGAATTTTAATTAAAGAAAAGGTAAAAGAATCACTTCTGTAAAATCAGGATGGTAAATACTTTACAGGGTAATCACATTCAAAACATAGAGAATCCCTCTAGGCAAAATCTTAGGTTACAAAAAGCAGATAGCTCCTCTTCCCCAACAATGGGTTCTACTCTTCTTCTCTTGTTGCCAGTACTGCATACCCGTTCTTGGCCTCGAAGCACAGGGGACTTGGTGGGGGAGGTGGAGAACTGCCTGCTGTTTTGAGGTGGTCAGCAGCAAGTCTCCTCCTTACATAGTAGCCAGTTCTCCTCCCACCTCTGGTGCTGCTGTAGTCTTTTCTAGTTAGCTGCATAATATGCAGTACATTCTGAATGAGTGTGACATTGCACTCTATATAATTTTGTGAAAATATGCTAATGAGTATGAATATAATGGAACTGGAATATGCTTCATGCAAAGGGTCTCCTGTAAGGTATCATTACAAAGCTTATAATCTGCTGAGTCTGATCATCCTGTTTGTATGAATGTATCACTCTTGTGTCTGAAACTAGAAATATGAAATATAGCTCTGAGAGCCTACTGTAATTATGCAAAGCATGGGTCATTAATGGTGGTTTGGAATCTTGATGGCTCTCATCAGCCAGGACAACTGACTGTGGATGGATCTGTTTGCAGGCAGGCCTTCCTGTGAGTCAGGCTGGGAGTCTCACAGGAAATGTGACCATGTCACCTAGTACTAAAATCCATCTTAAACCTGGTGCTTTTCCATTTAGAGGGGGTGGGGTGGGGACCCAGAGAGATGAGAGATCCTGGCTTTGTGCCAAAGCCATATAAGGGGGTGGAACAGAACAAAGGAGGCGGCAGTCATGAGAAATCCCTTAGCTACCACCTGAGCTGGAACAAGGGCTGTACTAGGAGAAAGGGCTGTGCCCAGACGGGGAAGGCTTCCAGTCTGTGAAAAACTTACTGAAACACCCCTGAGGGTGAGATTTTATCCGTATTCAGTTTTATTACTGTATTAGGCTTAGACTTGCATGTTTTGTTTTATTTTACTTGCTAATTCACTTTGTTCTGTCTGTTACTACTTGGAACCACTTAAATCCTACTTTCTGAATTTAATAAAATCACTTTTTACTTATTAATTAACCCAGAGTATGTATTAATACCTGGGGGGGGCAAACAGCTGTGCATATCTCTCTATCAGTGTTATAGAGGGCGAACAATTTATGAGTTTACCCTGTATAAGCTTTATACAGGGTAAAACGGATTTATTTGGGGTTTAAACCCCATTGGGAGTTGGGCATCTGAGTGTTAAAGACAGGAACACTTCTTAAGCTGCTTTTAATTAAGCTTGCAGTTTGTGGGATGTGGTTCAGACCTGGGTCAGTGTTTGTGGCTGGCACGCATGTCTGGCACAGCCAGGCAGGGTTCTGGAGTCCCAAGTTGGCAAGGAAGGCAGGGGCAGAAGTAGTCTTGGCACATCAGTTGGCAGCCCCAGAGGGGTTTCTGTGATCCAACCCATCACAATGAGAAAGAGAACTCTAATGAGAGAGGACACCAGAGCAACTCCATCTCTCACAGAAAGTGCCATGGCTGCAACAGCATGGCATACATCATGGGATCCTTATTGTTCGTGAAAAGGAAGCAGGCTATCAGTTCGGAAATAGGTCTGTACAAAACGTGTTAGTTCTTGTACCCACTTGAAATAAGATTTACTTGAGGTTCTCATGTGACCATAAATTCAACCTCCAAAATAATTCATTAATTTGTGTTTTCCCAGTGCCACCTGTGACCCACACAAACCAAATCTAAACAGTTAAAAATATAGGGAAATTAAGTTCTCTTCTGTTAATCTTATCCATCTCAGATTTCTTTTTATTATAATAGTGTAAGTATTTATTTGATTCAGGAGAAGCCTAAATCAAAAGTCTGGATCCCAACACCCTTGAGCTTTGCTGATTAGCTTTTCTCTGTTGTTGCAGAGAGAGGACTCTGTTCTGGGTCTGAAACGCCAAGGTTTAATTTTACCCCAATGAACAGTGAACTATAGTCAGATATCTTTTATTTATCCCCTGCTCAGTGCTTTTGCTGGTGCTTTACAAATGATCACTTAAGTCTTCAGGAGTTATTTTCCTTTCTTTTGCTGCAGTAAGCAAATGTTACCATCTGAATGTTAGTCTGCAGAAAAGAAACCAATCACAATAGGCCACTTTCCAACCAATCATCCACAGAACATTCAGCTACTGCTGAGCAAACCCCAGTCAAAATTAATTGCTAAAATTATATAATTGCAGGTGCTCTGACTGAGACTAGACCACAGCATCTGTTCCAGCCTCAATTGCCTCTATTCCTGCTTTAAAAATAAAATAAATTTAAAATAACCCAACTTCAGCACTGGTACCTAAGTGCAGTGATTCTTATCCAGGTATATGTCGGGTCACCAAGCCCACAAACAATTAGGGAGAATGGCTACTCATCTGTTTCCCAGTATTACCAGCCCCAAGCATTTAAAAATGAGTCAGGCCCTCCAATATCATGATGTTGGATGAAAAATCCTGAGATTTAAACCTAATTAATTTTGGGATTCTCTGTTTGCTATCTGGTTGCAGTCAGTAGGGTTAACGTTTTTCAAAGTTTACTCTGTAACGACGAAGGCTAGAAATTTAGATATGTATGTATTTTGAAATGAAAGCTGAAATTCTCATATAACAAGATGACTCCCAGGTCTGGGCCTTTAAGGAAAAACTTCAAATATTGCAAGACTTGCAGTAAAACTATGAGAGCTGGCAGCACTGCTCTCCTCTGGTGACTCCAGTGATTTCAGGGCATAGCACGTACTAAACCTAATTTACTGTCCAACAACACTTCATAAAACTCAGATACATCAAACTCATAAACAACCTGATTGGGAAAAGTTAAATGTTCCAAACTATAAGGTATCTGATCTATATATTTCACAAGTTTTTCTTTCCTAAGTTTCATTTTCTACAGTTGTTCTTTTTCTAGCATGTCTAGTAATTAACAGTCTAAAACTCTAGTTATCCAACTTGTTACTGTAACACTACCACTGCATAGGAATTAAAATCTTGAATCTTTGTAGCTCTTGAATTCACAAACTTAATAAAGACATGCAATAATTCCCAAAGCCTGAATTAAGTACTGCCTTCTCCTAAAACAGCTGGAAAGAATGCAGGAAGTTCTCATTTAGTGCAAAATATCAACTAGGTCTCAGCATGTGATGTATAATTTCATTTACTGCTCTGTGCTCTGTGCCTTTGTTATATTTTCTTTTAAACTTATAATGTTGACAATATTTATAACCCTTCTCTCCCTCCACATTGTGTGGAACAAAGAAAAAATTAGATTTCAGAATAAGCTCAATCAAACAATCTCATTTAATACAGTTAGACTTCTTCAGTGTCAGTCTTCAGAGTTGTTAAATGCCAATGTCATACCACATGAATAAGGTATTTTACTGACTTCATCATAAATGGACTTTTTTCAGCAGTTTTTGCAAATGAGTGAAAATATATTGCAGATATTACTTCTGATGATTTTATGCACTCATTTTTTTTTATAAAATGAAGCTAAGCCTTAACAATTTTTCTTGCTCATGGTATCTTTCAAGAGGACTGTGCATACTCAACTGTTTTTAACTTCTATCTCTACAGTAAGTTGTAACATGTCACATTAATACAGCTAAGGCCAGCCTCCTAATTTAGATATTATCCTTTTTACAATTAAAAAAGCCAGAAAAATACTAAATAATTTTAATTTAGTACTTTTTTGGTTAAAAAAAAAGCACTCTCTGGTCCCAAGTTGAACAAGGGGTTATCTTGTCTGCCCCTCTCTTTGCACAGATGTTCAGGAGCAAGAAATGCACTAGGTTGCTCTAATCTGATGTCTCAAGATACTGGCTCAGGTTTTTAGTGGGTCACTCTAATTCTTGCTGCAAAATTTGTGGGAACATGCATTTGTATGCATAAAGCCTCATAAAAATGCATGGCGGCTAAGAGACAAATAAGACGCTGTTCTTGTGCAGAAGAGCTTTGAAACTAACAGTCCAAACTTGCAAATGCTTTGTGAATTTAATACTTAATTTTTGTAACCTTCATGTTTGCATTACCAGACAAAGCAACCACATGATTTCAACTTGGTTCTTTTTCCTACCTCAATTAAATGGCCCCTTAGCCAGAGCCCTGTGAGCCTGAGTCAGCTGGCATGGGCCAGCCCTGGGTGTCTAATTGCAGTGTAGACATAGCCTTAGTGACTATTATCAATACTCTGCAGATCGGGTTCTAAAACGTAACTTGGCATGTAATGATAAGAGGCATTAGGGCTAGGGGAAGAAAGGTGACAGCTTTTAAGACAGGTTGGAAATGCAAGTCTCAAAACTGTTCCAAAGGGGGGGGGCGGGGGTGTGTGTGTATATTTTTGTGTAACATGGTTTCTTTGAAGGGAAGACCTGAGTTCATATTTACAAAGCACTGCTTTTATATCCCTCTGTAAATTTGGACCATTAAGCTCGAATATATTCACCCACTTTTTAGCAGCAACTATTTAAAGTAAAGTATTCAAATTACTTGTGGAAGATTTGGAGAGAATTTTTGAACAGATGTTGAAAAATTGTTTTAAAGCAGGTGAAGACAGCCAGGGGAATTAGCTGGGAGTTCTGTGCAGGGAGGAAATAAGGGAGTTAGCCATGCTGCTGCTGGAGGAGCTGGCTCGGGAGAAGGAAGCCCATAGATATGTTAAAGATTTTGTTTGTGGTTTTGTGTTCATTTGAGATGTGTGCTGCTTGCTGAGGGAAGCTAGACAGCTGTGAACTACACTGAAGGGAATGTGTGGTGTAAGTATCCAGGCTCAAAGGCAACCAAATGAATTAGTTGAAGAGTAATGATGATAAATTTAATAACTGAAGCTGTGCGTTTTTGTCCATATATATTGTATGTTATAGGACACAGAAATTTATCATTTCACAGAATTTTAAGATAACTTTTCAAAAAAATTTATAAACTGGTTCTCTGCTTTTCTTTCTATTGTATGATTAAAAACTGGATTCAGTGGTGTTTCTGCTTCAGAGTTGCTTTTTCCCGCAGGATCAGAGTTTCCTCCTGAAATTATAAGAGAGAGAATTCAATTTAAAATTTAAAAGAAAAAAAAGCACTTCATAAATGAATAAAATGTAATGTAGGGATACATGGTCCCCATATAATATGAGGAAGTTTTTCTTGTTGTAGGAGCTTTGCAGTCCAAGGCCCTATTCTTGCAATGATCTCCAACCAAGTGCAGGAGTCTACCCATGCAGAGATCATTTCAGGATCAGGGCCCAGATTGAGGCAGAATGCCACAAGTGAATGAGACAAACAGGCAACAGGTGGGTTAATGCAGATTCTGTTACTGTGCATAAGTTAGCTGCCACGTAACCTGATGGTTCCAAATCTTCTGAAGCTTTTTTAAATTGCTCTGAAGATTGTAATACTGTCTAAATCCTGTATAGTTCTTTATGCCCTCAGGTGTTTGAAGGAAAGAGGATTTCAACTCACCTGCTCTGTTTTGAAAATTTATTTAGTCCTTGTTTGAATATGTGCAGGAACTTTCCTCCATTCCTATATATTTCTCCATTGTTTTGACCAGCTCTGAAATATGTAACAGAAGTGACTATTTGTATGGGATGGATGTCAGTGTTGCATGAACCTTATATGGCCAGGTATACTGCCATCTGGGCTGTCTGTTTCTTGAGAGTTTTTGGCACCTTTTCTTACTGTCTGACTTAGGTTTTTCTGCCAGGCCCATCCTTCATATTCTGTTGTATGATAAACCACATGTACAGTTTCTTGACTCCCTCTTTTAAAGCTTGCATTTGCCATTTTGCCTGTTCTACTCCTCTGCAGAGTTGTATGGCTTTCTTTGCAGCTGTACCCCAAATCCTTGCATAACAAAGACTCGACACAGTCAGGGTGCTTTAATCTGCATTGGGAAGCTGACCAGTTGCTGAGCCATCTGAGGATTCTGGGGGCTGGAGGGAGTGTCACAAAGTTAGCCTAAAGCTGTTGAGTAATCATCAGACACCAGGCCATCTGAGAGATGATAGTTAATAATAGGGTGTTTGCTGCCTTGGGTTTTACTGGCAGAAGACCGCAGGGATGGAATGTCTGTTAGTGGAGTCCCCCCTAACCTTCATGGCTTGCTCAGACGCAACAGTAAATGGTCACTATTTTGCTATTTGTTGATAACTCTGGATTACTTCCATATTATCTGTCTCTACAGTATGAAGTTTCTGTGGAGAAGTTTATTTAACACTTGCTGTGCTGCTCCGCTCTGGGGACACAAAGAAAATGATTAACGTGGAATGCTGCTGCTGTCTCTCCCAGTACAAACAGAGCAGGCAGGCAGGGGTGGATATGTGTGTGTGACCGCAAGAGGGACTGTGCTGTTCAGAGCCAGGGAGGGAGGTGGGGGCTGAGGTTGGGGTCTCCCCCTCCCCCTGCCGCAGGACTGGACAGCATGCTGACACACTCTCCCCCGACACACACTGTCTGTCTTCCCTCCCTCCACACCCACCATACACATGGTCCCTGTCACACACTTTCCCCCACACACTTGAGTTGAAAAGCTGCTGGCAATCTAGGATGCCCATGGAACTATGGGACTGAGAAACCTGCATCATGTGATGCTGTACCTGCCCCATGAGGCATTGCAAACCCTTCCCAAAGCACCCTGCGGCCAGTTGCATAGTGGGATAGCTACCACAGTGCACTGCTCTGTCATTGCAAGAGCTGCTAGTGTGTGTGCTCCAGTGACACAAGGAGCGAGCATGGACTGCAACAGCGGTTTTAACGAAAGCACTTTAATAAAAGTGGTATAACTTTTGGTGCAAAAACTTGCCCGTGTAAACATAGTCTTAGTCTGTTAATATACGTTGGTGTTAGAAATCCATGTATAGTTCCTTTTCTCCACAAAGTAATGGAATTAGGTTTTTTTCCTGGTTTTGACGAGCTGATAGGGTTTTTTCCTGTGCAAATATGATCCATTTTGGTTTAGAATGAGGGTCTGGAGCTTTAGATATGGATTCCAGTTTATTTTTGCTTATCAAAGCATTTTAAAAGTTAATCAGTAATATATTTTAATTGAAGCAATTTGCAGGTTATTTGTTGTGTTGTTATGTGGGCTTCACTGATAATACAGCTAGATGAAATATATTTTCTGTATCATCACTCTTTAGTGTCTGAGCTTCACATGGTAAATTCCCAGCCAGTGTTGATAGCCAAAGAGAAACTAAGCAAGTGAGGTTTTAGAAGCAGCCTGCAACTAATAGGGATTTTTGTGTTGGCTGAGATCCTCAAGAGGATGTTTTGTTCTTAGCTATATCGCAGATTCTTCTGTGATTACATGCACTGAAAATGACAGCCAGACTCTTTCCCTAAATTTCCCTATAAAATTACCTCTATGCTTTGGCTCTGTAATGTGGATTCTGTTTTTAGAGCACTTATAATTATGCTGTTCTGCTTGTGCTCAAGAATACTCTTTTCATGATGGGAGAGTGCATCTCTCTTCGCATACATTTTAATGCGGATAAGATTCCCAACAAGATGGTCTATAGCAAAATGTTTAATTTTGTCCTGAGTTTACTCCATTGCTAAAAGATATTATTTGCAAATTTTTAAATATTTTCATGGAGATCTAAAGATTTTGCTAGCTTTAGTTGAATTAGAGCTTTCTTCCTGGTGACAGAATGGGTCTTACTATTAAATATCCTCTGATATGAGATTTCATTTGACTCATGACCTCTATGTGACGATTCCTGGACTTTCTTCACTCTGTCATTATTATTGCTTCATTTAACAATTGTATCTGCATCTGTTTTGGATTTAAATGTCATTGATCTGGTGTAGGGTGCTCTCAGTAGAGGAGGGGGCCAATGACTTGGGAATTTGCTTCTTCTTTTAATGTGGTAGAGCTTTTGTGCAAACATTTGCACATGTTGAAGTGAAGTTAGTGTGATACTCTTCATGGCACCAAAGTGAAGCATATGCATATGTGATTGCAGGATCAGTGCCTTAGTTTATTGACTAAAAGGGCACAGTGCAAAGCCCACCTCTATATCCCAATGTTTCCTGGAGACAGTAAGCACCGCAGAAGTCCTTAAGGAGCATCTTATGTTGTTTGTAGTCTCTTACAAATGTACAGCATTGTAATACCTTGGATTAAACACTTGGATGATCTGTAGCAAGTATATTCTGCTGTAGCTGTCTTCTACTGTAAAATGGGTTTGCCAGGGCGTAGAACAGTGGTTTTCTATAAGTATATCACTGTAGCATGAATATACTCTCAATGATACCTTCATAGGTAGGTTAAATTTTTTCATACACACTGAGCCTGATGCTGCAGCCATTCTACATGTAGAACCTCCACAAATACAGGCTCTGGGTGATGTGACTTACCTATGAATAGTATATACAGCATACTGTGTGATGGTTAACTTTTAACTAATGCTGACTTTAACTAATACTGAATTAATGTGCTGGCCAAGAAACATTTCACACAGGTCTGAGTGAATTTAACTCCGGTTTGGTCAATATGAAGCACAACTTGTATTTTTTGAATATATGTAGAATCCAAAACTCAGGGATGGCCAGCGGGATGCCTTCTCCTATTCATTCTTTTGTGGGGGGGATCCCGGGGTAGAAGCTAGGAAGGTCTTACTGAGCTGCCGTCTGGGTCATTGTTGCTTCTATCTTTTAATGAGTAGCAGGGTCACGCTACACTCCTCGGGCCCTGGTTTTACCAGCCCTTTACTGTTCTAGGGCTGAATTGCTTTAAAATACTCTGGAAACATTGTTCTCACATGAGCCTTCAAAAATCTCACAGGTGGTATAAAACCATGCATTTTTCATAATTTTTTGTTTTAGTTTTGTTTAGGCATTTTCTTACAGCTCCTAAATCAGATGCTAGAAATATCGAAACAGATCTCCAAAAGTATAAGAAAATATGCTTTTAAAAATTAAGCTTCTGTCAATTTCCATTGGAATTTTAAACTATCCTCAATTATTTACTGAAGGGAAATATTGGGAGGGAAACAGGTGTTCATATTAAACTCTCCTGAGATGAAATTGTGTTTATTGAACTACAGCTCCCAAAATACCTTGCACATTATTCATGAACTGTTAATCACAAGCTGGCTACAGATAATTTTCTAGGAGATCTTGGAGAAAATGATACAGTTGTTGCCATTTAGGTGACAGGGCTTGACAAAAGGAACATGTGAGCATAGAATGTAGCTTGATTGAGAATTGAATTAGTTTAAGTAGTTAGAATCAAACCTGTTCTGAATCAAGAATGTAGTGTAATACTGGGAGGCAAGTGTACAGATCTATGCCTAATACATGCAGGCATGTCTAGTGTTACATAGCCATAAAGAATAGAGAAGGAATCTAAAAAAAAGTAAAATAAGTATATTGTAAAAAATAATGTAAAAAAATTCTATTGAATCTGGTACAATTGCATCCTTAAGTCTACTCCATGGTATAGTCAACATAATTCTCTCTGGAGTGCTCAAGGACAGCTTTTTGATAATTTGTGTGAATTTCTATTAGACCATTTAAATCAAGTAATGTAAAGTGAGATTATACAAGAAACCACGCTCTTGGTTTGACATAGTTAATTAAGTCCCAAGCAGACTGCGAAGAGCTACAAAAGGATCTCACAAAACTGGGTGACTGGGCAACAAAATGGCAGGTGAAATTCAATGTTGATAAATGCAAAGTAAGGCACACTGGAAAACATAATCCCAATGATGGATATAAAATGGTGAGGTCTAAATTAACTCTTACCACTCAAAAAAGAGATTTTGGAGTCCTTGTGGATTGTTCTCTGAAAACATATGCAGCAGCCGTCAAAAAAGAATGTTGGGAATCCTTAAGAAAGGGATAGGTAATAACAGTGCCTCTGTATAAACCCACGGTACGCCCACATCCTGAATTCTACGTGCAAATGTGGTCGCCCCATCTCAAGAAAGATACGTTGAATTGCAAAAGGTTCAGAAAAGGGCAACAAAAATGGTTAGGGGTATGGAATGGCTTCCATATGAGGAAAGATTAATAAGACTGGGACTTTTTAGCTTGGAAAATAGACAACGTGGGGGGGGGGGATATGATAGGTGTCTATAAAATCATGACTGATGTGGAGAAAGTAAATAAGGAAGTGTTCTTTATTCCTTCTCATAACACACGAACTAGGGGTCACCAAATGAAATCAATAGGCAGCAGGTTTAAAACAAACGGAAGTATTTTTTCACACAATGCGTGGTCAACCTCTGGAACTCCTTACCAGAGGATGTTGTGAAGACCGACTATAACAGGGTTAAAAAAAGAACTAGATAGGTCCATCAATGGCTATTAGCCAGGATGGGCAGGGATTGTGTCCCTAGCCTTTGTTTGCCAGAACCTGGGAATGGGCAACAGGTGATGGATCATTTGATTACTTGTTCTGTTCATTCCCTCTGGGGCACCTGTCATTGTCGGTAGACAGGATACCGGACTAGATGGACCTTTGGTCTGACCCAGTATGGCCGTTCTTATGTAAAATTTTACGTATTTTATTTGTTTCAGAAAATGATAATATTAACCAGATGCTATGCAAGTACACACTCATTTATAGCATTAAAATGTATTTTCACCACTAAAATTCATATATAAAGATAAACTAAATGGACTTCTAGAGGGCTCTGCTTAAGCTATTTTGATTATCAATCCGACAGATTAGATACGGTATCAAAAGCATTTTTGATAACTGTAAGGTTAGCTTTTGTTAGTACAGTAATCCTTTTTCTCACACATAGAAGGAATTTTCTGTTCTGGGATCTTACTGATGAGTCAGACCAGAGGATTCCTCTGCATCAGAAGACTTATTTGCAGTAAGTTTGAACAGTGTATTGTTGGAAAACCTGTAAATTATAACTACACTAAGCAAGCTCTGCGCTTAAAAAAATTAAAACAACTTCTTTTTGACTGTTACAGTAGCATTTTTTGGCGATAATAGTGGGAGCACTAGTGTAGATGGGCTTAGATGAAACTCTAGTAGTAAAACCATCTGAGCCTGGGCTATGTTCACACTTCCACCGTTGCTACAATCAGTGAAGCTGCACTGGTTGCACTGCCATGGTGAGTGATTTCTTGAAAAATGCTAGCAAAGACAAGGCTTTTGAAATGTTAATTTGCACTTATGCAAATTCACCTGTCAGTGGCACATTGAATGTGGAAGACCCAACTCTTTTCATAGAGTGGTTCCTATGGTTTCGGAGGTATGCTTTGTCGGTTTGCAAGTTATGAATATTTATGCTATTCAGAATCCTCATCTGTGTTGCACTTTATATAATTTTTACTTAATTTCACATTAAAAAAAGTCATTTCCATCCATTACCTAGGTAGATGTCTTCATTGGCAATCATTTTATGCATGCACACAAGAGTGTCCTGATTGACAAAACCATGAACACAGATGGCTTCCTGATACTCTTTAGTAGTTGCTGTAGAAAATAGCATACAGTATATGCCTGATACATTATTTACTGACACTAAATAGCAGACATGGTTATGGTAAATGAAACCTTTGAATTATTTATGAGAACTGGTGCTAAATGTTTTTTTTTCTTTCTTTGCATTAGTCTAAAAGCTATTGTACAATTGTTGGTAAACACTTTTTAAAATATTCAAGATATATAAAATAAATTGTCTGGTTAAGTGGATCTGTTATTCACTTAAAACAATCTGGTCTTCAGAAAGCACTTCTGCATATTTTTACTTTCAGTCGTTTGAAGTCACTATAGTAGTATTTTATCAAGTAGCATTCCCTGTGGTTGTCTTGCCATCAGCTGTGAGCTGTGTGTGTGTAAAGGGGACAGGAATAGACTTGCTTTTTTTACAGTGTGTGTTTTTTTTCTGATATTTTCCTCTATGTGGCAAGGCTACAAAAGGTGGAGAATGATACTGTGGCCAGGTACTTAACCCGTGGCCTAAGATACATGGTGCATAACATTTTTTATGAAGTGAGAAGTCCTCTCAACTTGCATCAAGTAATTAGAAGATGAAGGGAAACTCAGCATGGTGCAGGACTGCAGGAGTATGCTAGTCCTATTCATCGGTCACTTCACTAGTTCTCTGTTCACTGTCACAGTGACTATAAAACTACTCTCCTGGATTTAAAATCATTTTACTATGTTTCTCCTTCCTTCCTTCTGTTTTAATGGCTTTCGTTTTTGTGTGTTCCTGTTTGTATTTTGAGACTGGTGAGTTCTAAGGTGCCTCCATTCCCAAACATCAAATGAACAGAGTGTGGTTGAGCTTAGACTGACTTTTTCAATTATGAGCATGCTGAGCATTTGGACTTACAAACGCTTTGCATTTTATTTATCATTTTAACACAATTATTTTAAAATTGTGAGTGTGCTTAATGTGCTAATTTGTGATAAAAATCATATTAGTGTTTTTATTTCCTTTTTTACTGAGAATACAGCCACTTACATAATAAAACTAAAAGCATTTAAAAAACCTGATTCTGTATTCATCTTTTCATGTTCTCTTTGTTTCCATGTGAGTCAGGCTGGCAAGTGAAACTAGACTGATCTAGTTGTAGTCAGTTGGACATAACTTTTAGAATCTGGTGTGAATCCTTGCAATGGCTACTTCAATATTTGCTTAAAATATATGCTGTTTGGGGAAAATCCATTTAAGTAAGCCTGTTTGCAAACTCAGTTGCTAGAATATTCATGTAAAGCTCATACAAGAGTTGTTGTGAACACAGTTAAAGTAAACATATTCAAAAAAGTTATGAACAAACATTTATGGAATCTTTCTTGTAGCGTGTGTACAGTTTTAATACACAATTAGCACTTTTGGATGAACACTCCCATTACACGCTTTTGCTCTTTATATCAAGAGTCCATTTTGTTTAAAATAAAAAAGTTTTAGTTAGAAAATTCCTAGAATATTATACTACTGCCACCGATCCTTAAAATTAATTTATCTTATTAAACTAAGCACAAAGCCAGCTTTCTTTTGCACTGGGTTTTTCTGAATGCCTGCTTTTTCTTTCAAATTATTTGGTGTTCTCTCTCTCTCTCTCTCTCCCCTTCCCTCCCTTCAGAGAACAGTAAGGTGTAAAGTAAGAGTTCAAAAATGTTCTTGCATATACTTGCAATTTTGAAGTGTTTTTTCACACACGCGAATTTCTAAATATTACAGAATACTTACAGGAGCTGATGTACATTTTTTTCCCCAGGGGTTGAGGCTTTTACAGTCCTGTGATATGGACAGAATTTACAGTGGAGTATTTGCATATGTTAGTTAGGAAAGATTAAGGAAATAGTTCCTCTTTGCTGTTTTATCAGGGAACAATTTCCCTTCACAATGTAGCTTATACACAAAGGGGGGAGTTATTAATTTTGGGACAAATCTTAACTATATTACTTCTGAAGAGCTTCTGTAAATGATCTTAGTGTTTGAAATTCATTCTAGTAAGGTAGTTGAAGAATTACATTTTGATCGTTTGCATCTGTACTTACAAACAAAACAGCTAATGAGGATAAAGATATACCTCTTTCCATCCTTGACATTGAAACTGAAAAATGTAGTGATCCTTCCAATAAAAGGAATGGAATACCTTAGTCTCTGTGAGACGGTAGCGGCCTGGTTTCTCCGTGTGCACTTGTTGAGATGGCACTCTTCTGTTACTTCAAATCTGATGCAAGAAGAGCTGGTTGAGAAACTGCTGAGCAGTGAATTATGTTGCTTTTATACTCTGCCACTAGGTGAAACGGAAAAGAATGGACATTGACTCATCCATGTGTATTCACATCAGTTGGCTAGTCAGATTTGTTCACACTGTCATCTTTCCATAAACTAGAAATTGGAGGTGCTTGAACTTCAGCAGTTACTAAAGAGAATGGTTATGAAACCTGAACACATCTAAAATGGAGATTCACAGTAGCTACTCCTAGAAAGCAATTTTCATTGAATGAGCTAAAAACAAATTCTCCCATTGTCATCTTTTCACTACTCTGCTGAAAAACATTGCATTTCACTACTTTATTTGCAGTCACATGAAATCGGCAGTCTCTGGTGGTAGATATATTTAAATTTCAATCTCAAAAGATAGAATGGCGCAGCATCGTTCATTTATGCCATTTGTTCAGTTGTTTGAGTATAAAGAGTTTGTGTGAAACTTTAGTTTCTACTTTGTATTAATGCAACTGATTGTAGCCTGGATTATTGAGCATTCAACTGAGAAGCTAGACTGTGGGTGGGGTTTTTGTTGTTGTTTTTTTGATTTACTAATGACCTCTGCCCATGGCCAATTTTTATAATCATGTGCAGTGCTGTTGTCCTAGTTGCCTAAGCAAAGCACAGATGCACTGAGCAGCCCTGCCCGCATGGTTCTAAAAAGATACTACCTGTATATGCATTTCCCCTACTGCTTCTGAAATAAACCTAGTAAAATGTTTTATATTCTGACCAATGTGCAAAAATGACATTGATGCTTCCTGTGTTTCACGACTTCCACATCAAATGTACTCAATTTAAAATAAAAGATTATTTTCCTCACTCGACAGCCTTGCAAACTCCTCCTGGAGTCTGAAGGTCAGGCTGGGCTCTTTTTGGTTCATGCGTCATTATCACTAATGAAGACTCTTTATCTGGAATTTCATTAACAGTTCTGTTAATGATACATGAATCAGAGTGGAATCCAAATGTTTCTTTCATAACTAACTGAAAATAAAAAGCAGTCATCACTTTCTTTTGTAAATGAATGATCAAATATGACTCTGAATATAAAGAGGGTTAGGTTAGAAGGAGTTATGTAGATGTGGTAATTTTGTGACAATAACCACATTTTATGGGGATAGTTCAACTGCTCACGCTTCTTTATAGTATTGGCATGCTGTCTGGAAAACATTTAAAAAAACAAACCCAAGAAATTGCTGTGTTTTGATCCTTGAGGGTCAAAACCCTAAATCTACTAGAAGGTATAGGTGACAAGTCTCTTTAGATTTTCTAGTAAACTATCAAATCAAATTAAATGTTTGTCTTCTGCAGATCATGTGACAGCCTGCAGCTCTCTGATAGATAATTAGGATAATAATTTATCCAGAAAAAACATTACAATATTCAAAATGTGCCTTAGTTGGAAAAGTATGTTCAAATTAACTGATGAAGTAATGGACCCAAAAGGCATGATGATTTAAACAACAACCACCACCTAGTAGTGAGTCGATTACAGTAGCTTTTGTGAACTAAACAGCCATCAATATCTCTGGTTCTAGACAAATTGTAATTTATCCTGCATGCTTAATTTGCACTTTAATAGCAGCATAGTGACAAAGGACAAAAAGCAAACTGAATAGGCCATTTGTTTGAGATCCTCAGGACAAATTACGGTTGCTGCAGAGGGGAAGGGGTGGGGGGAATGGAAAAGGTCTATGTGTGGTGTGATATTTCTGCTGTTTATAAAAACAAAGTTAATCATTGGTTGGTTTGTCTCCTTGTTTTTCCACTTTTGAATAGGAGCTGCATCCTGAAAGATACTGAGCATCTCTTGCACAATGCTGAGCCCTTTCAGCTCCTATTTAATTGAGAGTTAAAGGCATACAATGCAATATAGGATTGGCCCGTAGTAAAGAGTGCATGCAGTGTTAATGGATTGAGCTAGGAATATTAATATTTTCATGAAAAATATCATACATTAGTGACATGCCTATTCACGTAACATTTACATTGATATTTACCAGCATGGGTTAAAGCTTTTCTTCAGCACTACATCAATAATGCAGTTAAAATTCAGTAAGTTTATCCTTGGTAGCAGTTTACTGTGCTTTAATGGATGTGTTGATAAGAGTCTGTCTGGAGAAGATAACAGCCTATTTCCTGTTCTGTTCCCATGGCCATAATCACAGATGTGTTTGTTTACTTGCATTGCTTAAGGAATCTTTGCTGAATTAAGGAGATGACTGTGACATGCTTCTAAAACTAAGAAGCATATTTTGTCTGTGTGCTGAATTTAGGGATTGGCTATTTAACTAACAGTCATATTCCTTATAACTTGACAAATGAAGAAACTGACACTAAATTGTCAGGTTTCAGAGTAGCAGCCATGTTAGTCTGTATCTGCAAAAAGAAAAGGAGTACTTGTGGCACCTTAGAGACTAACCAATTTATTTGAGCATAAGCTTTTGTGAGCTACAGCTCACTTCATTGGATGCATGCAGTGGGGAGATTTATATACACAGTGAACATGAAGCAATGGGTGTTGCCATACACACTGTAACAAGAGTGATCAGTTAAGGTGAGTTATTACCAGCAGGACGGACCCTTTTGTAGTGATGATCAAGGTCGGCCATTTCCCAGGGAGGGAAGAGGAAAGGCATAATAACATAAGAACAGAAATAATGATGAGACTGTATGTACTTTTGAAAACTTTAGCACGGTCCCTTTATGGTTATCCATGTTTACATTTACTAGAAGTCAGTGTAACATTAAGGTTATGGGGGAAATTGCATTATTTCTCCATTGAATAATTTTAGACCTTTCTGAGCAACTTGATTTGATCCATTTTGTAGGAGACAGGTGCAGGCAGGTGCAGTTCTCACAGTGGTCATCATATTACCTGACACCTTTCAGCCACCTTCCTAGCTGTTATTGTGATGGGCACTCTGTCTGTACAATAGAATTCCACTCTGTGTCACTTTGAAACCTAAAATGTCTGTAAAGTCACTGTGAAGCAATGGAAGCAGCTACAAGTATGGTGGGAGAAGCTTTTTGTTCAGAATACGGTACATTCCTGTTTATTGAATAGCCAGGGGAGATCCAAAACTTCATATAGCTGAGCGTTGGAATACATGGAAGTGCATTGAGCTGCAGTTTCACTGTATGTAGTCCTATGTTAATCACCTGCTAATGACTTCTCAGTTAGCCTCTTAGCTCTTGTTAGCATTAATCAGCGTCTTTGTACTTAGAGTAAAAAACAGCTTAATTGAATTTATTAAGACACTAAAATTGTATTAAAATTATGTCCACAGTGGTTTTAAGAAACTTAATAAAGTTTGTTTTTACTCCTTAATAAAACGCAAAGCACAAGTAATGAAAGTACAAAGCTATTGATAAGTGCTAAAAGGTGCTAAGAGACTAATTGAGAAGTTTATCTTACAACAAAAAAGCTATCTTACAACAAAAAAACTTCAAATCCAGACTCCAGCGAGAAACTGCTGAATTGGAATTCATTTGCAAATTGGATACTATTAATTTAGGCTTAAATAGAGACTGGGAGTGGCTAAGTCATTATGCAAGGTAGCCTATTTCCCCTTGTTTTTTCCTAACCCGCCCCCCCAAGACGTTCTGGTTAAACTTGGATTTAAACTTGGAGAGTGGTCAGTTTGGATGAGCTATTGCCAGCAGGAGAGTGAGTTTCTGTGTGTGTGTGTGTGTTTTCGGGGTGTGTGTGTGTGTGTGTGAGAAAGCCTGGATTTGTGCTGGAAATGGCCCACCTTGATTACCATGCACATTGTAGGGAGATTTCAGAGTAACAGCCGTGTTAGTCTGTATTCGCAAAAAGAAAAGGAGTACTTGTGGCACCTTAGAGACTAACCAATTTATTTGAGCATGAGCTTTCATGAGCTACAGCTCACTTCATCGGATGCATACCATGGAAACTGCAGCAGACTTTATATACACACAGAGATCATAAAACAATACCTCCTCCCACCCCACTGTCCTGCTGGTAATAGCTTATCTAAAGTGATCATCAAGTTGAGCCATTTCCAGCACAAATCCAGGTTTTCTCACCCTCCACCCCCCTCCAAAAAACACACACACAAACTCACTATCCTGCTGGTAATAGCTCATCCAAAGTGACCACTCTCCCTACAATGTGCATGATAATCAAGGTGGGCCATTTCCTGCACAAATCCAGGTTCTCTCGCCCCCCCACCCCCATACACACACAAACTCCAGCAGGAGAGTGAGTTTGTGTGTGTATGGGGGTGGGGGGGGTGAGAAAACCTGGATTTGTGCAGGAAATGGCCCACCTTGATTATCATGCACATTGTGTAGAGAGTTGTCACTTTGGATGGGCTATTACCAGCAGGAGCGTGAGTTTGTGTGTGGGGAGGTGGAGGGTGAGAAAACCTGGATTTGTGCTGGAAATGGCCCAACTTGCTGATCACTTTAGATAAGCTATTATCAGCAGGACAGTGGGGTGGGAGGAGGTATTGTTTCCACGGTATACATCTGATGAAGTGAGCTGTAGCTCACGAAAGCTCATGCTCAAATAAATTGGTTAGTCTCTAAGGTGCCACAAGTACTCCTTTTCTTTTTTAGATAAGCTATTACCAGCAGGACAGTGGGGTGGGAGGAGGTATTGTTTTATGATCTCTGTGTGTATATAAAGTCTGCTGCAGGTTCCACGGTATGCATCCGATGAAGTGAGCTGTAGCTCACGAAAGCTCATGCTCAAATAAATTGGTTAGTCTCTAAGGTGCCACAAGTACTCCTTTTCTTTTTATTAATAAGATTGGGACTATTCATCTTGGAAGATAGATGACTGGGGGGAGATATGATACGTGTTTATAAAATCATGACTGATGTGGAGAAAGTAAATAAGGAAGTGTTCTTTACTCCTTCTCATAACACACAAACTAGGGGTGACCAAATTAAATTAATAGGCAGCAGGCTTAAAACCAAAGGAAGTACTTCTTCACACAGTGCACAGTCAACCTGTGGAACTATTTGCCAGAGGCTGTTGTGAAGGCCAAGACTCTAACAGGGTTCAAAAAAAGAGCTAGATAAGTTCATGGAGGATAGGTCCATCAATGGCTATTAGCCAGGATGGGC